TGTGACGAGCAGCTTTTCCCACCATGGGAGTGTGCGTGACTGAAGGCGCAGATGCCCACAAGGTTGACCAGCAGACCCCCAACTGACACAGGCTGCAGGAGAATAAGAAGGAGCGCTGATAAAGTTCAAAGACTGACCCCAGAACCGGGAAGTTCAGCTCAAGTCTATAACGTTAGGAGAGAATTCAATGTTTTTGCTGATGACTCACCGTTAACATGTCTGTGTCTATATTGGGAGGATCCAACAGTCGAGTGACGGACTCCACAAACACAAAGAAGGCAATGACCATCAGGAACAGACCGTTGATGAATCCAGAGAGGATTTCCACACGACCAAATCTGTAGAAATAAATAAATAAATGAAACCTCTGACCACACTCATCCTAAATCTGAATTACTTCTTCTTTTCCTTTCGGCTTTGTCCCTTTTTTTTCCCCCAGGAATTGCCACAGTGAATCGTCGTTTTCCATTTCACCCTGTTCTCTGCATCTTCTACTCTGACTCCAACTATCTGCATGTCCTCCCTGCATCCATATATCTCCTCTTTGGCTTTCCTCTTTGTCTCCAACCTGGTAGCTCCATCTCCAACATTCTTCTACCAATGTATCCACTGTCCCTCCTCTGCACATGCCCAAACCATCTCAATCTGGCTTCTCTAGCTTTTTCTCCAAACCTTCCTGTCTGTGTTGTCCCTCTAATGACCTCATTCCTGATCCTGTCCATTCTTGTCACTCCTAAAGAGAATCTTAGCATCTTTAACTCTGCCACCTCCAGCTCCGCCTCCTGTCTTCTGCCTATTGCTACTGTCTCTAAACCATACATCATGGCTGGCTCTATTGTACTCTAATGATGGAAGAAGTAAAAATTGTCCATACAAATCTCCAATAGTCTCAGTGAAAATGTCTCTTCATAGAGTTGGTGTATTTCAGTGTCTTGTTGAATGCGTGGAGAGTTTCCTTTCCTAAACTTCAGTCCAGTCCTTGACCTTCAACATTAATCAGTCTACAGTCCTGAACAATCTGTTGTGTTGTTGTGTCAGTCAGTTTGAGTCAATATGAACAATTTTACCCGTAGGAGAAGATCCTGGTGGCTTTCCATCGCGTCATGAGGGCAGCAAATAGACCCAGGACTAGAGCAGAGCAGTCGAACAGCATGTGGAAACCGTCAGAGATTAACCCCAGGCTGTTGGTCCAGGCGCCATAAAACAGCTCCACAAAGGTGAACGCCTGGAACACGCGCACACACACACAGAAAATGTCTGAATGTGATGTTTCATTTGGTTTACAAGTCCACTTAGTCCACAGATCTACACCCTACACTCACCAGGTTGAGACACAGGAAGTAGAAGATTTGCCGGGAGTCGTACTCCTCCAGAATCTGTTTGAGGGAGTCCTTGATAAACCTGGGCAGTGACTGTGAAGTGTGTTGCAGTGCGTCACCCATAAAGTTATACAGGGGAGTTCCTTCAGGAGAGTAACCCACCAAGGTTCCCTTCTGACCTTTCTTTGAAGGAGACGAGAGAATGCTGGACGCTGCAGAAGACAAACAATCGTCAACCAATCGGAGGATTTCTTACGTGAGATTATAAAGAATTTGATGATCCTTTGCCATGTCCTTCTATAAGGTTTTACATAATTTTGTAACATCAACGCTCAAAGTAAATCTTTGGAGATTTACTGCATTGACACCAACTGACCACAAGAGAGAGCAGTAGAGCAACAACTGCTCTACTGGTTGACATTGTGATTCCAGCAGTTCATCCGGACATTTGGTCAAAACATTTCCAGTTTTCTTTGTTAAAACAAACAAAAAAAAAACTACGAAGAAAAATTATCTCAATATTATATACTGTCTATAGTCTGAAAACTATTACAACATGTTCTGTAAATATTCACATCGTATCAGTATTACACTAGAATGAGTCAATGCTGCCAACTGAAGTAAGTAGACATGAGTGATCCCCTGGGGTATTTACACACCCCAAAACAAAAATGTTCATAGTGTTATTTTTATGTAAAATATAGTCATACTATTAGTTCAGGATATATCTACAATCCCTGTAGACTAATTTGAATTGCTTGTAGCTGGTTGACATTAATAAGACATATCAATCAGCTATTCCATATTTATATTAGAGAAGGCTACTGAAACATAATATGTATCTACATATCAATTCATGTGTAGATACATAATATGTACCGTCATTTCCAGACTATAAGCCACTACTATTTTCACACGCTTTGAAACCTGCAGCTTAAACAATGATCCAGCTAATTTATGGATTTTTAAAATTGGAAAAAAAAAAAAAAACTCAGTGTAAACATCCCATGTTACAACATGGACACCTGGGGCTTATAGAGAAGTGTGACCAATATACGTACAATTATTGTTTTCTTTTTAAATTTAGTGGGTGCGGCTTATATTCCGGTGCGCTTAATAGCTTGGAAATAACCGTAATATGTATCTACATATAAATTGTATGTAATTATATATAAATCATAAAAAGAAATATGATAGTCTGATGGGGTGACTGAACACCCCAGAAGGCCAAAGCAACATCACATGGCCCCTCTAGTCAATTTTAGGACAATTTTGGTCCATGTGATACACTCTTGTTGAGTTGAGAAGTGTACTAGGAGAATAAGTTGTCAACTAGAAATTATAAACACAAAAATCCACCCACTCACAGAGGATGAAGAAGATGGCGCTGACAATCACTCCTCCTGAGAGCACATGCTCTGTGCTGACCATCTGCGGTGGTTTGCTCATGGATCTCAGTTGGTCGGTCAGAGGATGAGTCCAGAAGTTGGCCAGCAGCAGGGCGCTCAGAAAGAGAGCAAAGCTACCGTAGCGAGCGCAGCGCGGCGTCTCCATCTTGGCATTACACATGGACTCCACATAAAACTCCAGGATCATCACAGAAAAGATGATCATGGAGAACGGCAGGATGAGGGAGGACCAGGATTCTACTTTACTCTGGTGAGGAGACAGAAAAAAAATAAAAAGTCAAGTCAGACTTCTGCTTTATAAGAAAATGTCAAGAAGAAAAAAAACATTTTATTGAATGTTTTTGTGATTACATCTGTGGTCCCCGACAGGACAATGACCCATGGCAGCAGAACCACAGCAGAAACCAGGTTGTCCAGGACGTAGAGACGTTTGGCTCCACCTAATTCCACCGACAGCTTCCTGGAGGCCGTGTGGAAGGCCACCTTCAGACAGAGAGACACCACCAACAGAACAACTCCACCCTGACAACATCAGCGCACAAACACCAAAGATGGAAACAATTAAGGCAAAATCCTACTCTACAGTACTGGACATGGACAAAGAAAAAAAAAAAAAAAGTAATTCTTACTTTGTGATCTGCAACTCCTAGAAATGCAATAGCCGTGTGAAGAAAATGAGTAAGAGCACTGTCATGGTGTCCTTCAGCTGGAGGAAGAAGAGTCAAGGAAGAAAAACAAACACCTGAGACTGAATAACACGTTACTTCAAAGACAACCCTTTGAAGTAACAAATAACAGAAATGTCCGCTCTTCTGATGACAAAGAGGGTCACAGCCTAAGTCACGTGGTCCGAAGAGGAGAAACCAAAAACGCATGTAGTGTTTGTTTCTTGGAGCTGTTTTCTTCAGATCGTTTAGAACAAAGGTTCCCACCTTCTTTAAGCCAAGGCACATAATAAAAATTCCACAGCACACAGACAAACAGAAATGTCACAAAAGTATGTGTGATGAAATATATGAATCCACTGAAAGTTTCTAACAGGAGACACCTAAGAAGAACTTGTTCCTAATACCATTCACACAGGATTGGACCCAAGAATTAAAGGATACGGTGCTCTGCCATTTTGGCCATGAGATCATCGTTGTCAAAGAGCAGGAGACAGATAACAGCAATGATAAAAAAGGCAGCACCTCTGGTCTGGATCAAGACAAAAATACACACTCATTCAGTACTTCTGTAGTACAGTGGAACACACAGACAGGTTGTCAAATGCTCCCCTACCTTAGATGGTCCTCCGCCTGAGCTTGTGAACAGGACACCAAGGAGAGCGATGACCACAACATCACTGTGTTCAAACAACAACAAGGTCCTGTATAGGACACGAGAAAATATAACAACAATAATGATGATGATAGAAGAACACAGAAAACCAAGGATGGCTGTTGTCTTCAGATCACAGACCAGGTTTTTAGATTTTAAATGTATGTTTTCTGATTTATTGAATCAGAATGTTACTACATTTTTAATTATTTAATTTTAAGTTTGTTTTTACCTCAAAGGTCCACAGAGAGTGAGACCAAAGAATCCCAGGAGAGAAATGACACAGCTGAAAACGGCATGTTTTAGTAACTTTATCCACTGAGAAAAAAAAAAAAAGTCAGATTAGAGGGCATCAAGACAAAGTACTTCATGAACAAAATGTGTGGTGCATGCTTGGTAATGAACAACTAGTCATTAAAAATTAGAATTTATTTTACAGTAAGGACAGAAACATCCACAAACCTGTCTCTTAGAGATTATTTTACCAGAGGAAAATGGTTTTTGGAAGAAAAGTAAAACCACAGCAGACCTGAGAAGAGATGTCAAAATTTATTAAAAATATATAAAAAGGATTATTCAGCACATTCCATCTGAATCTTAAAAAGTACTCACCCTAATTTTAGTATGAAGACAAACTGGACAATGTGAACAACTTTGAGCACATCGTACGATTCAAAGATCCCGAGAGCTTTGAGAACTTTGGAGATGACTAGTAAAATGATGTACCTGGTCAGCCTGAGAGGAGAAAAGAACACTAATATTTTATGGCTTCCTATCATTACATAACAAAAAAAAAATAGAATGAAAAGGGTATTGGGGCCAAGGATGAGATTTTTAAAATCTTTTTAAATCCTTGGAATGAAAAAAAAACTCAGTTTAATTCTCTATCTTTATACAGGTCTTTCTAATTTAAATATTTCTATCTGCATGTCTTCCTTAAACAGGTCAAATATTTTTATGGTAGTGATTTCTTTGTTTTTCATTGACGATTGCTCACTAGAATGAACATTATTCTTCAATTACACAAATACACAAATCAAATGACCTAAAAATCGATGGTTAATATGGTTCAACAAAAACAACTTTCAGTAACCATACACAAACAGACAACAAACATTTTTGTACACAAAGCACAGGAAACAGTGCAACTACATAACTAAACATTTAGAATAATTATGGTTTTATTTTAAATGAGACGCACCTGGAATCTGGGACTTCCACCATTCCAAGTTTTCCTCCTGAGAGCACATTGCTGCTGTATTTTTCGTCCATCTTCAATTCCCCAGAACCAAACTACTGAGAGTCCAGGATATTCTATTTATGTCCCAGTTACTTCACCATCATCATTTTCATGAACAATACCACTGCTGCTTCCTAAGAAGTGTGATCAAACTTCAACATGTCTACAGCCGGGGTTCGAGCTTGTATCTCCTATTGTTCTAATGCATTATTTACTACAGCTTTCTCAATTTATTTCATCAAAAAAGTCTATAAAAATCAGATCCAAAGCTGAATTTCAATGAACTCTTTAGCTCACTCGCTAACTAGCCATCTGTCACATTACTTCGCTTTATATCCAAACGTTGTTGCCGCGATGATTCACCAGTAAACGTCATACAAAGACACCGAAAAATATATTTAGATTTAACTGTTTGGCCGTAGTGACGACGCAAAATCATACAAAAATCGTGGTGAAAAGAAAATAATGTTTGTTAGCAGCACCGCTTCAGCCGGAGCACCGCACTTCCGGACACGGTAATCGTGCCACGTCACGTATGGGTGTTCGAGAGACTCATGCTGCTCAGTGACTGGTTCATAAGAGTCACTTCAGGATAGCAGTAACGCAATATAGCAACGCTAGTTCGTTCTATTAAACTCAGCATCGACGTAGCCATATTGGGCAGGGCAAAACCAGAAAATAACTTTGCGACAATAACAGTTACAGTTCGCTACAAATGTTTTTAAACGATATTTCGGTATTGCGACAGCTAATCTGTATACTTGTTTCTGGTAAATTATGTGTACGAAAAGGTTTTCACCTATTATTATACTTCACAAAATTAAGAAACAAGTCTCCCAACATCTTGTAATCAATTTATTTTATGGTCAGACAGAGGACATTCAATATTTACATTTGTGTTGTCTCAGTAGTCAGAAAAAACAACCGTTCTTACACAATTCAAATGATTTCTAATTATTAAAGACTTCTAGTCTCTGTGAACACCTCTTGACCTTTTCGCATTGATTTTCATCCTCACCGCAATGATGAGAATTCAGTGTGGTCCACACAGTCCCAGCAGGACCCTCTGGTAATGTCCCTTAGTATCGTTCTGTTTAAAACAAACACATTTACTGGGAACTCAGATGAAAAACAAAACCAGAAAAAAAATAATTTGCCATTGTTTCTTACATGTATATCCTCTTGGAGGCTGATATCATACATGGCTCTGTATTCTTCCACAATTTTTTTCAGATCCACCTCAGAACGACTGACCAGAATTCGTATCAGTGTGTCCTCACAAGTTCCATAGCCCTAACATTATACAGCACAGAATCAGTAACAGAACCAAACACCCGGCGGCACAGTGAGAAGTAAAACATTTAGAACGTTTTGAAACAGTTAGTTTGACTAGCTTTTAGCCATCCTAATAACAAAACCTTTTTTGGTTTACATTTCTGCTCTTATTATTTTTCTGACAGAATTGTAAGCAGTTTAGTTTAACTTCTGGCTAATACAGAAAATAATATTTTAAGCTCCGTATTTGGAGCAAGCTGTTTTGTTTCCTTTTTGTTAGCATTTAAGGCTAATTTTCACCTAGACCTGACTCATATGAAGTTATTAACTAGTTCTGTTTGCATTTTTGCTTTTTACTCGTTTCAGGGAATATATGTCGTTTGGCTATTTTTAAATTTTTCTTACAGTAACTTACAGTAACTTACAGTAAAGTAATCTATGTGTACAAACCTTCATGGCCTTATGGAGTTTTTCTGCAAAAAACGCGGATTTGTTCCAGGCACATTTCACTGAATAAAGACACACAAAGACATTTTTAGAAACAGAAATGAGCACAGATGTTCATACGCCATCTCTGTGTATTTTTTGGCTTTAGTAACCAGTACAAAAAAACGTATCACTTCGCAGTAAACCAGATGAGCACATGTTTGTGGTCTGTAATGTTTGACTTACCAATATCAATCAGACAGTCTTCAATGTCTCCTTTCAATTTCAATAACAGAGCCTTGGGTAAAGAGACATCATTGTGGGAGGCGTACAGTTGGAACGCTAACAATTAAACAAAGACAACAAAAAATAAATAAAACATACATACTATTCTCTTTACTTTTTATGTTTTAAGCGCTTTGCTATAGCACTTTAAACATTCAAACATGTGACTGTGAAAAAATTCTCCAAACCTGAGAATATTACTATGCAAGTCAATAGTAAAACAAATATTACATTATCACTAGTTCACAGTAAACTGACCTTACAACTGTATTTTCTTTGCCAATAAACAGCAATTCATATTGGTCTTTGTTGGGCCACATCTTACATTTCAGTCCTCATTATGTGAAGCATGATTATCCAGTCAAAGACTGCATTGACCTTGTAGGGTGTGTTTCTCCTTCGGCAGTGAACGGTGTGGTTCCACCTGTTTGTCCACATTAGAATGTCCCCTCCTTCTTTTTCTGGCTGCAGTTATAGTTTCAGGTTGTTGTTATACAAACCTGTTGCTTTGACCCGTTTTAAAACTCACTCTTTGAGAGCTGAGGGCCGCTCCTCTTGGTCAAGATCTTGATGTAAGTGGACACGTTAATTCCTTCAGGATGTTCTCCTGCTTCGAACAGAGTCTAAAAAGAGAACACAGAACCACGTTGTTTAAAATAAAATGACCCTCCTGCCCAAACATTTGTTACATTTTCTGTGGGTGAAAATACATTAAATATTGTTATGATACAAAATCTTTCCCCATCTTGTACCTTAGCATCCTTCTTGGCCAGTTCCAGGTTGATGTCAATGTCCTCATCTTTGTCAGCTTGCAGCATGGCCAGCAGGGCGTCAGTGAATTCTCCATTGGTCTCATCTCTAATAACCTCCTCCAGATCCTGCTTGTACTCTGAAGACAACAACAACAACAACAACAACAACAATCTAACTAATGTCACACTTTGGTGTTTGCAGCTCAAATAGTGTGGTTTGTAACAGTAATAACAAAGATGTGGATGATTACAGTGCATCCCTGTGGCTGTAATGATGGGTCAGGAGCAGAGAGACACTAACAGAACGTCATGTACATTCCTGGGATGTGAATAAGAAGGAATAAACAAAGTAACCTTCTTGGTAGACTCTCTTGAGGTCTCTGATCTCCTGGTTGGTCCTTGTGGCCAGAACTTCTACCAGCAAGTCCTCGTTTGTGCCCAATCTCTGTTTTTTTTTTAACAAGAACATCAGGTTAAAAACAAAGTTAAAATGCATTCATTAATTATTACAGGGTCTTTGGAAATGAGTACGAATATCAGAGACCAAGGTTGAAGAGTTCTGTTAGGCAACTGGACGTAAAAATTCACATCCAGTAACAGAACTCTTCAACCTTGACAGTGACCTTCATCAAAGTTAAGGACTGTTCAAATGAGTATGACTGACATTTAGAACTGATTTCTGTCCGGGCCTCTATAAACTTGTTTACAGTAAATTACATGGAATTGGTCATAGAGACTAATTACAACGAATAAGAAAAGCACCAACATCACCTTTGTGGCTTTTCTCATCAGATAGGCGTCAAACTGAGGCGGAGTCATGAGCAGAGCCAGGGAGACGTCCTCCAGATCAGAACGCAGAACAGATTTAAGAGTTTGGTCAAGTCTCTGTGAATACACAGGGAGAGAGGAGCAATACATAATGATCAAAATGATGTTACATTTAAACATTATAATAAAAAACACAGGGTTATTTTACTCAATTATTTACAGACAAAATTATAATTAAATAATACAATAAATTACAACGTTCTCAGTTCCCTCATTCCGGTACCACTGCTAGATTTGACATAAATTAAACATAAATTACAACATTCTCAGTTCCCTAATTCCGGTACCACTGCTAGATTTGACATTAGCTACAACAGGTTTGGTACAGACACCAGAGCTAACATTAGCAACAACAATCCTGGTACAGACCCTAGAGCTAAGATCATGTGGGCAGTGATGTAAAAAAAAATGTCAACAAACAGTGACATCACACAGAGGTACATGGCCACAGAGAGAGAGAAAGAGAGAAAGAAAGATAAATATTCTAAAATAATAGAAATGAAACGAATGCAGCACAAAGTTAGAAAGAAAGAAGGAGAGAAAGGGAGAAAGAGAGAAAGAAAGAGAGAAAGAGAGAGAGAAAGAAAGAGAGAAAGAAAGTAAGAAAGAAAGTAAGAAAAAAGAAAGAAAGAAAGAAAGAAAGAGAGAAAGAAAGAAAGAGAGAAAGGGAGAAAGAGAGAAAGAAAGAGAGATAGAGGGTGAGAGGGTGGGAGAAATGTCCTCAGGTCATCTCTGGAACTAAATAATGAAACTCGACAGTCAGCTGACTTTCTGAGGATCTGACCTACCGTTGTTTTCAAAACTCTCTGAGCTGCGTACTGCAGAAACTCTGTTCATTTACATTGCAAATCAGTGAATGCAAAACCAAAAACAAACAGGAGAGAAAAAAAAAAACAGGAGACTAAAAACAATTTAACAGAACAGCCCTTTAGACATTAATAAAACCTACAGGTAACATTATCAGTAATTACTGAATAGTATGTTGTTACTGACTTAACTGATATATTTCATTGGTTTTTATTTGAATTTTTTCAGCTAATATTTTTGCTATTTCTGCTTTGACCTGACATTTCTGCTGTTTTTGTTAACTTATTTGTTATGATGTCCAAGTTATTTTAATCTGAATTCTATTTCTTCAGCTAACTTTAGCATTTTCTTGACTCACTTTTAACCATTTCTTTAAAAGTAAATCTCCTTTCCATTAGGTACGGTTTATCTGGTGTATGACCAATTTTATTTAATTTTAACATTTCCATGTTTCTGGCTAACTAGCATATTATTATTATCAACATAATAATAATAATAATAATAATAATAATAATAATTGGTCTTTTTTTCCCTTGTGGCCCAGAACCCATGACACAGCAACAGTGTGGTACCCAATGTTTGGCACCTCTGGTGTCGTTGGATTATTTCTAAATATATTTCTAAATACTTTCACACCTCCTTAAGGTGACATTACTTAGTTCTTTTTCGCTAAATGTCACCTCCTTAAGGTGACATTACTTAGTTTAACTGTGGGTATTTGTATTTAATTAACTTTTTGATTTTATGTTTTCGTTACATTAAGCTAACATTTAGCTATTTCTTGGCTAAATGTGTTCATCTTTTACTTAACTCAAATTTTGTATTTATGAAAAGTAAGAGTTGGAGAACTTGCGCCAAAAATAAAAAACAATAATCTTCTCACTTTTCCGGTAGAGGCTTCATAAACAGCTTTGATTTTCTGCCTCTGCTCGTTGCTTCTCTTAACCAGTACAGCAATGATCACATCTTCGTCCACTCCTGACAGAAGAAAAGATTTATTGGATATTTATAATTGTTACAAGAAAAGTGTTTCGTGAAGTTCCTGCAAGGACCAGACAGTCAAAACTCACCATGACTTTCAATGGCACTTTTCAGAACAGACGCATCACTGCTGGCATTGAAGTTGGGATATGGAGTCACTGTTCCATGATAAGGCTTTTGTTTTACCACGACCTTCTACACAACACGCAGAAATAAAGACAATCAAAAAGAAACGGACAACAGTGGATTTTTGGTTTGAGGCCCGCAGCATCAGAAGGACGTACTCACCTTCACGTTGTCATCCTCAGAGTCTCTGTCACGGACTATATTGGAAAAAAACTTTTTGAAGAGAGACATCGTGACCAGACTGGAGGGACAACAAAGGAACGTGAAGAAACAGAGAAAATTAGGAAGAAGAAAAGACAGGAAAAGACAAGATATTCTAAAATCAACAGAACTGATGAAATTCCGGCAAAATATTCATGGATCCGGCCCATATCCATCACATTAGGCACTTACTTAGTCTGATGGATGGTCAAGAATTTGTCAAAGTGCAAAGTCCTGGTTTATATACTTTTACATTTACGGAAAACCAAGTCCAAATAAATGACTTAATGTTACAGAGTTGAAGTTTTTCTGCACAGAATTTCATCCTGAACTTGTTTGTTTCACGTGCAGCAGCTTTTACACCGGTTTCTGACCGGAAGTTATCTTACAAAATTACCCAAATGAAAATAAAATAATAATTCAGTGTTTCTGCTCATGTCTCATATTTCTGTATGTAAAAGATAACAACGGCCTGACCTTAACAGCAGCAGCAGCAATCGTTCCTTCTCTGGATAACAACGGCCTGACCTTAGCAGCAGCAGCAATCGTTCCTTCTCTGTGTCGTCTGTCTGATTCTCACTGCGTCTCCACCCGGGTTTGCTCGGATGGGTTTATTCACCTGCTGAGCCTTAGCCAATGAGGAGCGTCTTCTCAAAGAGCGCATTCCTCTGAGCTGACGGACGTTTCTGACTGGTTGGGCGACTGTCTGTTACTTGTGGCACACGGCTGCTTCACCCTTTAACCAAACACCTTTAAAAAATGCAACGACACACGTTTTTGTTTCCTGTTTTTTTTTTTCTTGTGAGATGAAGGGCTCGTGGACACGTGAGATACAGTTTTCTTCTAAACGTTAATGTAATAAAAAGGTTTAAAAAGAAAAATCATAATCATAGAAATTAGCCAACCTAGCCAAAGCTATTGAATATTAATAAGCTTAGTAGCACATATAGCATAAAATATCTATTTACCCTAAACACCGCTTAAATTAGACAAAAGAAAACAGAGGTAATAATTTAGCCAAAGATAGCAATTACCGCTTGCCTTCATTTAGCACTACCTAAATGTAGCCACACTATTTACCCTAATAGCTGAATTGTAAACGTATCTATTAAATAGCTCAAATCTGGCCCCGGAACCAGCCCTGTAACATGGGACAGATATGGCTAATCATAGGTTAGCTAAAGAGGAGCTGAAAATTACCAAAAAACACAGCACAAATAAAAAAAGACAAAATGTGAAGTAAATTTATTTTGATTTAAGATATTTTTTTTTAATATTCATAGATCACTGTTTGACTTACTGTATGTTCTGACAACCAACACTGGGTTCCTACAGTGTTGGTCGTTAGAACCCTTCAGTTCCAGACTTGATTATCATCGTAGAACTAAACACACAGACCATGATGTTCTGCTCAGACACATGGGACACCAGATTCTAACTGGACTATATTTATGCAGTACTTTGATTCTACTGTTAAATATTTCAGGTCAATATTACTTATATGTTATTTTGACTTCATAGACCTGTGGAACATTGTTCAATATTTCTTCAATATTCTGGTTTACTGTGTAATGTTCTAGTTATCCTTGTTGCCAAGTTTACATCAGGGTAATATTCAGACAGAACAGTACAAACTGTTCAGGGCAGGGTTCGTTTACTCTGGTCAATATTTCAGCATTGTTCAGGGCTCGTTTACTCTGGTCAATATTTCAGCATTTCTTTCTAGGTCACAGTAAAATAGTTGATTTTGTCTTGTATTAAACAAACATTCTAATCAGTATATGCATATGTGTGTAATTACTAGTGATGCACAGTTGGATGCGGGAATAAAGCAGCACGAAATGATCCAGCAATTGACTTAAATGCAGGGAATAAAGCAGCACAACATTTAATTTTACAATCTTTCAGTAGGCCAGTAGGCCTGTACATAATCATTTATTGTACACATAAATTGGGTCCAAGTTTGTTGGAATGTGCTAAATAAATACTTTCATAATTTTGTATTTGTTTTATTCTTTGGAACATTAATATTAATTTATGCAATTGCAGTTCCTTGATTTTATTGAGGTTTAGTTCAGAGCCATAACCATAAATGCAACAGTACTAATAATTGGCATAATGATTTTTTTCGGCCTTTCATTTCCTCCTACTTTATTAGTATTAATCAAATATTTCTGAATCAGATTCTGCATTTTGAGAATGACTACAAGGGACGGTGGGAGGGTCATTATGTTGGAGGCGGCCCTCTGCCACGTCCTCGTCCTGCTCCAGGTTCCAGTCCTGGTCTGGGACCCGGGGCCCGGTTCACTGGTCTCTGACTGTTGGGGTTTGGTGAAGCCAGAGCCACGTCTTTCTGCAGGTTCACTCCTTTACCAGGTCTGGTCTTTGTGGGCCTTGGTTCTGGCTCTGGTGGGTTTTCTGTAGAGGTCAAAGAAAGTCACAGATCAGTCACATCTAGTTAAAGTTAAAGACATGGTGAACAAAGAGAGAATAAAGTCCAAAATTGTTTCTAAAATCCTCTTGGTTCCTCACATGTGGAGAACAGGAACCTGAAGTAACAAACTCAAATTCACCTAAACCAAAACAACAACAACAACAAAAGATTACTGTCTTCATCTCCTGCCGCCTTAGTAACGGGAAATTAAAGTCCCATTCTATATTTAAACTTTTGAATAACTGGATTGAAAACGAATTCGTGTAAAAATACAAAATAACAATTGATGCAACATCAGTGGTTTTCTCAACGGATTGTTGGCTGAAAAATAAACTCTGTTTCAAACTATCAAAACTGTAGACGTTTTGGTGACCTGGCTCAGGTGGTACAGCAGGTGGAGCCAGAGAGCGGTTTGGCAGCAGGTCCTCCAGGTCTTTCAGGACCTGGTTGGTACTGTCCATATTGTTCCTACGGTTCTTCTCTTCATCCCGAGCCTGAGGAGTAGGGTACACGTGAATGTTAATGTTGTTGACTGTAGTTACTGAGTTATTTTAACTGTTCGAAAGTTGTTGTTTTTTTAGAGAATGAAGTGTGTTAGAATGACAGTAGGGGAGTTGGTCCACTGCTGCCCCCATCAGGAAGTCAGTTTCATGTTGTTCTCTGACAACAGTGTAAAATCCTTATTTTAGGTTACCATTATGAATACAAGTTGATTGAACTGATTGGTTTCTAAATGAGTTTGGTTCACGGAGGAGTAATTTACAAAGACAAAGCTTACATTCTATAAATTAGCACGAACAATTCATATGCTTTGCTTTCTCTACTCACCATCTGCATCTTTTTCTTTAGCTCCATGTTGGAGTTTTTGTAGGCCTCTGACACGGAGTTCAAATAGTAGATGGCCAGTCTGGGGAAAGAGAGCATTACTTTCAGTTCAGTTGTTGGCTAACTTTCTGTAGTGGCTAGCTTTTAGTCCAGGTTTGGCTAATTCTTAGTTCAATCTGACAAGGGGCTTGTGCGGTTGATGCAGCTGATGAAAATGGATGGATGGATGGTTCTTGGCTTATGTTTTTTTAATGAGTCTGTACCTTTCAGTTACACTAAACATTTGGTCTGATCTCGACTCACTCTTCTGACTGATGTTTTTTGCAGGTTAGTTTAATCCATTAACTTTCATGTTATGGATGTGTTTTTTTTTTCCAAATTCAGTCAAACTTTCAGGTAAATGTGAGCAGTAAACATTTCAAGGACTTTTTCCCCTTTTCCATGTAGGCTAATAATTAGCAATTGGCTAACCTCTACTACTGTGTTATAGTTTTTTATCTTATGACCTTTGACCCTTTAAAAAAACATGTGCTCCATTTTTTCCTTTTCTGTTATGTCAACAAATCAATGTATTTGTGTCTGCATGTGTCAGTCTCTCTCTCTCCCTCTCTCTCCCTTTCTTCCGCTCTCTCACAGTCTCTCTCGGTGTCTTCCCCATACTCACACCATGAGAAGCACTGCTGGTATGATTAGCCCTGGATTGGCAGCGTAGCTGAACAGCGATCCCACAAAGGCCGGCAGGTCCAGGTCGATGGTCTCCATGATGACGTTATACATCTTCGTCTTTCCACTGCACACAGTCACAGCAGCACCTCCTAGAGAACTCCATCTTTCACCACCAGCTTCATATCAGTGGGTTTTGATTTATGGGTTTACCTGAAGGGTCCACAGTCAAAGGAGGGAGGCAGTGACATGACAGTGTAGACAACCGGCAGGAGGCTGAGGAAGAGGATGAGCAGCAGCAGACCCATGTAGAAGTTGTTGGACTTGGATGCCTTGAACACTCGCTCATGGGGGACGTTGGTGGCCATGACGGCCCAGCACTGGTAGTACATGGAGCTTAGAAGGCGAAGGACATTGATACCAACCAGACCAGGAGCATAGAAGGCCCCCATCCTGAGGTCATGTGACAGGCGAGAATGACAGTCAATGAAATCTACAGCTCTTAGACAAACCTCAAAATGTACTTTTGCTCTTTCGTACTTCAACCTCTATCTGTATGGTTCGATTCCAATACCTCTGTTTCCTGGAAACTAGTACTATCATTAGTATTCTAACATCCCGCCTAGAGTAGTTTAAACACATCTAGGCCCTATAATTTCCTGTACGTTTAGAACCTGCCAAACTGTAGTGAATCATACTGAGATAGTTCTAAAATGGCACAAACACTCTCCTATATCCAATAACTTTTCTTTGCTTATTGGTAAAAAGCCATTCTCTTTTCCATCATGGAGGAATAAGGGAGTCAATGCTCTCAAAGACCTGTTCAATAGTGATGGTTTGCGTGCTTTTAGTGATCTACAGGCTGAATATGACCTACCAGGTTCTTCATTTTTTTATCTATTTGCAACCGAGATTGGCCATGAAAGCATAAGGTGTCCCCTGGGCCCTAGCACTTCCAGCTCATCCATTGACTAAACTAAAACTACCCACGCCTAAAAATCAAACACGAGGGATGGTCTCTAAACTGTGTACATTTATTTCTGATCCTTGCGCACCATTACCTGTACAAAATACATTGGTTCGAGACCTTCCTGTCATAGGAGAAGAAAGAATTTGCTGGGACACAGTATGGGAGAATCTCCCAATTGTGAATTATGTACACTCACACTAAAGGAACATTCATACACATGTATTGGGATTGTCCAAGTGTATCTGCTTTTTGGAGACACATTTCTACTACCTTAAGTGATATCTCATCGTTATTAGCTTTTTTTTTTCTTTTTTGTAGAGATCCGTAAAGGGACAGGTAGGGGGTCGCCTTGTATATCTAGTATTGTGTTCTGTAAATGCACAATAAAAAACAATTGATCACATGTTTTGTACTTGTATTTTTTCTGTCAATGCACAATAAAAAACAATTGATCACAAAGAATTCTACAGCTACTGGGGGGTTGTGATTGTCATTGTTTCCCTTCAGAACAGCAAAACACAACAACAACAACAACAATGTTAGGACATGAGAGATACCAGAGAGGGAGATCAAACATGTACATACAGTGAAAGGTGCTGTTGTTGTATCATAGAAAGACAGAAACATGAGTCCAACTGAACACTACACTGTATCTTCATCAGGTGATCAGGGGCCTGTACTGTGAAGGAGGCTCTACATACTCAGGCTCTGTGCTCATGGTCTGGCTTAACAAAACCTAAAGCTCTGATTGGGGATCAGAGTTAAACTGTACTGCAACGGCAGTTATCAACATGCTTTGTCAAGTCCAGTTCTCAAGTCTGGGTGTCAAAGAAAACGGCTGTTTGACATCATATTATTCAACTCTGGCAAAAGATATTTGTGGGCAACATATTCCAAAGTTATTTGGAATATAAAAAGACCGTCACTGCCAAAAGCAGCGCGGTCCCTTATCCATTAAACAACATTTCTATATTGTTTTCATATGCAATAGTTAAGGATTGAGTACTGGAGTGTGTGTGTGTGTGGGTGTACCAGATCATCCCCTGGTTGAAGACCAGACCAAGGACATTTCCACTGATGTCAAACTCTCCATACGAAGGCTACAATTAAACACAAAGAAACAAATAATATGTAATTGTTTTTATTCTTTACTATACTCTATACCAGGGGCCGGCAACCAACCATGTTGTTTTTTTTCATCCCTCTGCTGTGGGTTTGACGTTAAAGTTTGCAAAACAGTTGTTAATGGTTGGAAAGTGTTTGTACCCCTCTTGGCATTAAAAGATGCAAAAGTCACATTCAAACTTGGGCAACCCTATAAATACAAGAAGGACTCAAATAGACATTGAGTATTTTTTTAAGTAATCGTATGCCTCTTGAATTCAAAATGTTTTGTCATTTGCAGGAATGTAATTTTGTCGTCTCTGTCACAGTTTGTTATTTGTTCATTTCATAGTTTCTTTATACAAAGAGTTATCTTAACATTACCGTAATTTCCAGACTATAAGCCACTTTTTTTTTTACACGCTTTCAACCCTGCAGATTAAACGATGATCGACTATAAGCCACTTTTTTTTTTTACACACTTTCAACCCTGCAGATTAAACGATGATGCGGCTAATTTATGGATTTGTACGGGCTAACAAGGATCATACCGCTAGCTATTAGTGACTTTTCTGGTAGGCTATTGTATGTTATACTAGTAGCGTGAATGGCTTATTGCGTATATGTGTGTGGGCCGCGCGAGAAAGAACGGTAGCTAAAGTTGCCGACCCCTGCCCTATACTACTATACTAATGGTTGTATTTTTTTTTAAATATCTTGTGAATCATGTTTACAGTGTCAATATTCTGGATACTATGATCGACTCACCTGTTATTAGAAAAGTTAGCCCATTGGTAGGAAGTTATGATATTTTAGCTACTTGTTAGCTACCTGTGGATACTGTTGTTAACTTTCCATTGGTAGTTCTAAATGATCCTTTATCATATTGTAGTCATATGTTGTAGATTAATCAATCTTAATTCTAATCTTACAAATCCAGCCTCCAGGTCCCAGCACCAGCAGTAGTTGAGGAAACGGACGATGACCGCTCTGGCAAAGTCTCCGATCAGGATGGTCAGGTAGGTCACCTGAATGTCTGACACGGTCAGCTTCACAAACTCCTGCGGGTCAAAGGTCACGTGTCAGCGTTGCACCAAAACCAAGCCGACATTTCTCCGCTGTGTTCCTTACAATGCCTACAGCCGTTTCCCAACAGGGTCCCCTGATGACATCAGCAGGGTCCATAGGTGGAGGCGTGACCTCTGAGTCGTTGATCATTCGTGAGAAATTGGCGTAGTACTCCTTTATGGCCCAGATGGAGGCGTTCTGAATGGACTGCTCCTCTTCCAGCTGAAAAGGAGCAACACGGGAGGTTGAATCCTATCCAAATATGTGATTTATGTTTTAAACATTACTCTGGTTTAAGTTCAATATAAATTTAGTTCAACTCTAAACCAGGCATGGGCAAACTAAGGCCCAAGGCCTGGATTGGCCCGCAAAACGTTTCCAAATTATATCATTTATTTATATTATCATTATACTATTGTTATACATATGCTGCCCTTTCCCTGCAAACCCACGTTTTCCCAATAGATGGCGTAGAACATTTTAGAGAGGTCTCTTCTATTTAATTCTATGCCTAATTTTGCTAGCCTTCAGCTGTTTTGGTATTATTGATTTGTTTAATTTTTGTTTGGTATCAGTGGTATCACACCTTGGTGTTGACCTCATCAAACAGTGCGAACAGGAAGGTGTAGAGGTTTCCCAGGAAGAGGGCGAAAATTCTCCCCAGCTGCCACTTGAGGGCAATCCGTGGATGGTAGTCCTCCAGCTCTGCAATGGTCTCGAACAGAGGAGGACAGACCAGACCCAGCAAAGACATGATGATCTCCAGCTGGACAAAACAGTTGACACCAAACTCAGGTTAAAGCAGCTTAAAGCTTCTCAAATAATGGGGTGGGTCTCCCGGCACGATGAGTGGTTCCAATAGAATATGGCATGGGCACTGGACACAAGTGTACCACTGCTGTAATGCTTGAATGTTAACAAGCCTCCAGTCACTAGGTGGCAGCACATCATACAGTGGTTTGTGAAGATAAAAAATAAACATGTGATCAGGTTCTCAATAGTATTTCATTACCTCGTTCTTCTCATACCAGCTGAGGTCGGTTCTGTTTGCAAACTCCTGCGACCTTTTCACCACGAAGTAGATAAGGTAGCCGCTACCCCCGAGGCTACAGATGATCAGGAAGTTAGCCAGAACTCTGAGGAACCTGCGAAGGTGGATGTTTTCATCTTTCTGGTTCTCCTGCTCGTCTACGATGGACTCCTGTTCTTGGCAGAAGAAGTAACAAAACCAGAGTTTAAGAGCTGGGGATGATGACGACTTGGTTAGCAAGCCCGGCTATCACGCTAGGGTTAAAGTAGATTGTTATTTTGAGCTGACTCTAAGCTAGGCTAAGCTAAGTTCTTTGTATTTTTAGATGTTAGTTAGGTGGGTGTGCGTGTGTTCACCTTGAAGCTAGTGGTGATGGAGGCGTACTTGTTGTCTGCCGTCTCGGCGTTTCCAATCAGATAATCCCAGCTGGTGAACATCTTCCAGGCAAATGTGAATTCTCCTTCATCGCCGTCGCCACCACCGACATCTGCGTTCTTGGCCATCCTAAAAAAAAAAAATGTTTATCATACAGTGAAGACTTCACAGTAGATTACTAACAGTAGATCTTTTTAGGTCATGGGGACGTGTCAATTGCTGGTTTGATCTGTTTACATTTACTACATTAGTGATGTAGTTTGTTATTTAAAATAGACATTCAACACCTTTGTCTGCCTTGGAGTTAAGCCCCTTCTTTTTCTCTATGGACTTTGATAAGGAGGAGTGTGTGGTTTACAGAAAAACATCAAGAATCAATGTCAAAAATAAACTTGGTGAAAGTATCAGTCTGTCTACCACCAACCACAGTCCATGTTGGAAATCATCACTTTGAGCTCATAGGAAAACACATGTTGCAGGTCTGCTGCTGGACTACTGCTGGTCTGCTGCTGGTCTGCTGCTGGTCTACTGCTGGACTACTGCTAGTCTAATGCTGGACTACTGTAAGGCTACTGCTGGACTACTGCTAGTCTAATGCTGGACTACTGCAAGGCTACTGCTGGACTACTGCTAGTCTACTGCTAGTCTACTGCTGGACTACTGCAAGGCTACTGCTGGTTTACTGCTAGTCTAGTGCTAGTCTAATGCTGGACTGCTGTAGGGCTACTGCTGGTCTACTGCTAGTCTACTGCTGGTCTACTGCTAGTCTACTGCTGGTCTACTGCTAGTCTACTGCTGGACTACTGCTAGTCTAATGCTGGACTACTGCAAGGCTACTGCTGGTTTACTGCTAGTCTACTGCTGGACTACTGCAAGGCTACTCTGCAAGGCTACTGCTAGTCTAATGCTGGACTACTGTAAGGCTACTGCTGGACTACTGCTGGACTACTGCTGGACTACTGCTGGACTACTGCTGGACTACTGCTGGACTACTGCTGGACTACTGCTGG